AACATTTTACGACTTGGAAATATCAATAGTAATTGCATGTGAACTGAGAAATGCCTTACAGTCTAGGATTTGGAGATCTTGTCATTGTGCTTTCCTAGTCTAAATCCTCAGAACAGTCTAGCATTCACAATCAACAGCAAACAAACAGCAATCCAGTTCAGTCCAGACAGAATCATATAATTCCATTACCTTCAAAATACTCTTCCTTTACAAATGAGACTGTGAGGCTAAAGAAGCATTGAATAGTGTAGTAACTGCTAGCCACATGTGGCTGTTGAGCTCCTGAAATATGGTTAGTCCACATTAAATTGTTCTCTGAGTGTAAAATGCATACTAGATTTGGAAGATTTATGAAAAATGTGCAAAATCTCGATTTTTATATTGATGACATATTGAATTGATACTATTTTAGATATATTGGGGTAAAAATATACTAAAATCATTTTTACCTCTTTTCACTTTTTAAATGTGAAAATTAAAATTATATATGTGGCTCACATTATATTTCTGTGAAAAGAGCTGGCTAGATTATTTAAACCTGAAAATGCTACCAAATAATTACCTTTCTCTTCTACCCTGGAAACGTACTCCCAATTCCATCTGGGGTTCCAGAGCCTTGGAAGTGGTTTTAGCTTTTAAGTTGTAGATGTAAAGTTTTTAAATAATTGTGTCAAATTGGGATAGAGTAAAATGAATAACAGGTAAAATTGTGCCTTTATCAAGTATTTAAAATTTTTTTTATTTTAGTGTATTTCTTAAACATCCCTGCAGTTATTTTTATTTCATGGTTATGCAAGTTTATGACTTGTCCAACTCTTTTCCTCTAAAGTCTGAATTAAAAGTGCCATTGTCAAATACACCCTCTCTAATCTGTGTTATTTGACATACAGTAGGTAGGACAGAGCTTTAGGTTCTATTTTCACTTCAGTGCAGATGTGAAAGTTCCAGTTAATGAGAGCGTAGTGTAAGTGTTTGTGTTTCAGGAAGAAAAGGCTCCCTGAATCCGCCTTCAAACTTTGGATATTCTGTAGAGGGAATAAAGTGATATGCTCAAATTAACTGTGGCCAGACAGATCCACATGATATGAATATAAATGTTTAAGTTTTGTTCAAATTAAGGTTCTTGGTATCAAAGAAAGTGCTTTCTCACCAGGTAAGTCAGAATCACTGTATCTCACTCTTCTGCTGGGACATATAGTATGGGGTTTGCATTGAACTCAACTATGAGATTTTATTCAATTCCCTTATTTGGATACATTTAATAGTAATTTCAATAGTCAAAAATGTTCTTTCCGCATTTTAGGGGGCCTTCATAAATCTTTCCCGATTACTTTATATCAATGGTGATGTGGTTAGTTGGAAGAAAACCTATGGAGGCTAGAATGTGAATTTTAGAATCAGCAGACAGGTTTTCATGCCTCACCATTTGGTGATTAGAAGCAGGTCACTTCACCAAAAAACAGCTTTCTGAAGGACAATTACCTTGAATTGTATTTCTCAAAAAATTACTTTTCAGAAAATCCATTCACCAAAATCTAATTCCCCTACTGAACAATTCATGGAATGATCAATTTGCCAAATCACAGCTTGATAAAAACTTTCTTTCTATTAGGTTGCTTAATGTTTGTAGCAAATCCTGCTGTATAAGGTGACTGTGGCAGCTTTGGAAGGTAATTTGTAGTTTTAGTTTAGTTTAGTTTGGTTTTAGTTCTTAGAGCTGCAGCCATTTTACATTATAGCTTATGTATTTCAAATCACAGTGTTGTGTTGTCTCAAAATCAAGGACTTCTTAAATCTTAAGGAAAAGGTGAGTTCTTGTCATGTAACTCATTTTTAATCTGGCTCATTGTCTTTTATACATTTTTGATTCATAGATTTGCTAACTGAATAAATCAAATGGATTACTTGCAATATATTTTAAGTGCTGAGCAGGACGCAGTGGCTCACACCTGTAATGCCAGCACTTTGGGAGGCTGAGGCGGGTGGATCACGAGGTCAAGAGATCGAGACCATCCTGGTCAACATGGTAAAACCCTGTCTCTACTAAAAATACAAAAAATTAGCTGGGCACGGTGGTGCTGTAATCCCAGCTACTCAGGAGGTTGAGGCAGGAGAATTGCCTGAACCCAGGAGGCAGAAGTTGCGGTGAGCCGAGATCACACCATTGCACTCCAGCCTGGGTAACAAGAGCGAAACTGCGTCTCAAAAAAAAAAAAAAAAAAAAAAAAAAATATATATATATATATATATATATATATATATATATATATAATGCTTTAGAAGTGCCTGAAATTCAAAACATATAGGAAATGACATTTAGCTGATTGGGACTGACAAATGTGCTACAGAATTGCTGAGCTGAAATGGCTATGGCAAAATTAGAAAGTAAACTAAAACTAGGACTAAATACAATTAAACTAAATATTCAAAATATCATTGAGGGTGTTCAACCATCTCATGCAATTTGCTAGAAATTTTTATAAAATGCAAAAAGTTTATGGCTTCTGTCTTTTTGGTATGTTAACTTGATACTGGTTTGTAGGAAGATTTGGGATGAAAGACAATACCATTGAAGTGGTAGGAAATAAGCTGGAATGCCAGAAGGGATTTTATAATGAACCATGTAATCGAGACCTCAAATTTGATATATACTAATTACCAATACAAAGTGAATTTAAATTCCTAAAAATTGTTGCCATGAAGATGAAATGAAAGCCAGTCAACTAAAACTAGAAATAATCTTCAAAAGCTTTAATTATTATGAATAAATTAATTGCTATAAAAGTTGGACATAGTTTAAAGAAATAATTTCTTGGTAAATTCAGCAAATTGGCCATTCTTCAAATTCATCATTTGGCAAATTGATAATTTGATGAATGGATATTTAGCAAATGGACCTAAAAGTGTATGATTTGTGGGAAGTTTGATAAACTGTTCTAAATCTCACTTGTTTTACTCCATGAATGGGGATGATAGGGAGTGTATGATAATTAAATGAAGTAACCTAGCTACAGCACCTTATACATAACTTAGTAAATGTTATTTCCTTATCCTTGGAGTGAGATTCCACCTATGATATAGCCACTACCAGCTGTCTACCAAGCCATATCAATTTGTCTGGGCCTTAGCTTTCTCAACTTTATTATTATTATTATTATTTTGAGATGTAGTCTAGCTCTGTCACTCAGGGTGGAGAGTAGTGGTACGATCTCAGTTCACTGCAGCTTCTGCCAGGTTCAAGTGATTCTTTTGCCTCAACCTCCTGAATAGCTGGCACATGCCATCATACCCAGCTCATTTTTGTCTTTTTAGTAGAGACAGGGTTTCGCCATCTTGGCCAGGCTTGTCTCAAACTCCTGACCTCAAGTAATCCACCCATCTTAGCCTCCCAATGGGCTGGGATTACAGGCATGACCCACCGTACCTGGTCAGCTTTCTCAACATTAAAATGAAGGGGTTTGACTAAATTATCTTGAGAATCTTGTTCTAAACCAATAATTCTACGATGCCATAAACAAAGAAACAAATACCTCAAACCCTGGCCTGCTTAGATTTCAAAATTTCTGAGGTCTGAATTCCAAAAAGGACAGAATTCAAGGGTTAAGGTAACTGAGTCACTAGTGCTAATTATGAAGAGCTTCTCTGAGTTGTTTGCTTGGACCCTGAATATTTGATGCTCCCAGGAATCCCAAGGTGATGTGCTCTTCAACACTTCTGAGAAAAAACAAGTTTGGTCCTATCTAAGTCATGAATTGAGGGAGAGGAGATGACTATGTTGGTTTCTTGCAGATGACCCAGCATTAGTTCATTCTCGAAGGAGGGCTCCCTCACTGATGTACCTGGTGTATAGGAGTTTTATTTATTTATTTATTTTTAGTTCTCAGTATTGCACATTTATTTGCTATACTCAGAAAGGCTCTCTTTTATTAATGTAAATAGCATGCATGTAACTGTATGCCCCTGAACGTGTCTGTGGGAAGCAAGTTTTTTTTTCTGACTGGAGCACACTTTCTGTGAATCCACATTAGAATAATAAATAACTTTTTTTTTTTTTAGGGCAGACAAACAAGCTTCTATTGAAAACAGCTACTGTCCAATTTAAAATGCTATAGAAAAATTTGATTCTTTCTTCTTGATATTTTATGATGTTAGAGTTTTTCCCCCCAAAACAGCAAAGTTTACAAACACACTGTGAATCCAGCTAATACTACAGCCCTAGAGTAACTGCATTTCCCTACATAATTTTAAGTCTCTCTATCTTCAGGAGTTCTAAACAAAGTAAAAAGCACATACTTTCTTTACATTTCCATCCATAAAATACAGCACAAATCTCACTACATTTTCTCAAGGGAAAAAGAAGTATCTCCATGCTCTGGGAACCATTGACAGAACATATTGCAATCTTTTCATTAAGTTCACACAAAATGAGGATTTAACGCATGGGCAAAACATTCCATCCCTAGAGGTTCCAATGCCCATAATCCCACCTTGAAAATAGCTCCATATTAATTGTTGCAGCCAAGTGGACACGGAGTTTTACTGCTTGGCACTCCTACTTCACAGATAACTAACTGCAATCATGGAAACCTTGGTTTTTTATTTTCTAATAACATCCTTATTCAAGCAAATATTTTATATATTCCCTTAAACCCAGAAAATCTATGTGGATCAAGCTAAACATTAACACCTTTGATATATTTTGATCTTAACTGTATGACTTTTAGAATATTTATAAGTACATATACGTTCGACACATATATAAATATGTGTATCTATACTCTGCTTTAAAATTTGATATCTGAAAATTCATATTTCATACACTGATAAATTACAAATTGATTAACCAAAACTAGCTGAGGCTTCCTTTAAGTAACCCTATCCCTAATTTAAAATATAATTCAATGTATAAGTATTTTATTTTCACATCACTCCTGGGATGTATTTATTGTTTAAAGTGAGGTACACCTGGCTGAAATGAATGTTTATAAATTCTGGCTTACCTTTTCCATTTCTGTGCCTCAGGCTGTTAGCTGCCGAAGTCCTACTTTCTCTGAAATCATGTGCTTCAGCCATTTAATAAACTTGCAATAAGTGAGTTTCCCAAATAACCATTGGGACACATATTACAGTCATTTTCTTAAGACAAAGAAAATAAAATTTCCTATGTAATAAATCCCTCACTACTCACAATGCTACCTCACAAATAAGAAGAGCTTAGTTGTTTCCAGAGACTGTACACAGTTTGCAACTCTGGCATGGTGGAAAATCTTGGCACATGAACAGCCAGTAGGAGTAATGTGCCAGTTTTGAATTGTTCACTGTTTTTATTATAGGTTCTAGGTTTCAGATGAACAGGAGCCTCCTATTGCTTTTATAGCAGCATATTAAATTGCAGCCTCTGGCAGGAGGCACCTGCCCTCTTCCTGGCATGCCATAGTCAGTCTTTGGCCATGTGGTACTCTCATGTAATGTATATTTTGTGTTTTGCTCTACATGGGGATTTAAACATAGGGGAACACATTCTCTCCCTGAAGGTATGCAACCCTTGGTGTCAGGTCTTGATAAAGGCTTCACACTACAGTACCAAAATTCAATGTGTATGGAAGGTCCTGCTTTCCATAGAATGCTTTTAGTGGTGGAATGAAATAAAATTTTATGAGCATCTTAGACAAATGTTTATAATATCTTGGTGCCTTTGGATAGAAATTTACTGATGGCTCCTTTGCCCTGGCTGTCTATTGTGTTGACCACACACAATGATGTGTTTAACACCAGCTAGTATATGGAGAATTAATCATAGATATACGCACTGATTCCTTGTCTGTGCTCTGCAGGCAGATCAGTATATTCTCCCCTAAATTTAAAACTAAGAGTATTTGAAGTAATTAATAATATTTGAATATATTATAAATCTTTGTTATTTATTGATGAATATTCAATTATAGATTTCAAAAAACTGGAATGTACAAATAGTACAAAGTTTTCCTTTGATAATTTCAGTACAGAGCAATGATTCAGTCTGTTACTAAAATAAAGGCATAACTTTAACATCCTTAGTTTTAATAGCATAATCTGAAGTTTATTTTGATGACATTTCTCTTGAAGGTCCATCTTCTAGAGTTGTCTAGTTGAGCTTACAACTTACTACTCAGTTAAAAATAGTAATTACATCTGTTAATGCACAATTGTGGAAGTGTGGATGGCTTTTTGAAATGTGATCTATTTAACCTTTTATGTATTAAATCATGAAAACCACATCACAGAATTGAATACATCTTATTAGCCCATCCGCCTACATGATACTTAAGTCATCTCTAAATTTTTTTGCCAAACTTCTTCATAGGTGTACCTCAATTGTAATGAGCCACCTCAGGATTGGTCTCCTACCAGATGTGGCAAAGAGTGCCATTCCCTGCTCCCAGTCCCAGAGTGCTGCTTACATACTTGATTAAGAGAAAGTTTGGGCACCTTCTGAACCTAGGAAGAGGTCTCTTATTGACTGTTAATTGAGAGTATGTCCGTTAATTTTAAGCCTTAAACACCTGACATGCCCTTAGCAATTAGGCTTTTGTTTCTGAGTTCCTCAAAATCTACATCTAAAGACATTCAGTTACTACCAGTCAGTAATTGGAATTTGAAATGGCATAAGAGGCTGCGGTGTGCTGAAATAGGCTTCTGCCTGCTTGTATGACTCACTTGTTGAGTGACATTGAGTTAAGTGACATCCCTTTGGTAGCTTGAAGTCAGCCATCCTGGGAACATTTACACCACAGAAAATGGTGTGATTTAAATCCTCCTGACTCCAGCCAACTTTAAACATTTACCAGCATACTACTGTATAAGGAGGTGTTCGTAATTGAATATTAAAGGAGACAACAGGTGAAATCCATTTCAGATACTTTGCCATAAAGAAACCAAATGCATTAAGAGGTTCTGGCTTTTGAAAATAAATACTATGGTAATGTAGATAACTGAGAAAAAAAAAAAAAAAAAGAAAGATAAAAGAACCTTAAACTAGAAACTGTTACAAAAACATCCTTTTTCTCAAAATGACATGTTCTCTTTGGGGGTCAGTTTTTTGTAATTTCATCAGGAAACTTGAAAATTAGATTACTTGCAGAAAACCAATTTTCTTTGCAAATATTCTGTATGGAGGAATAACTGCATAGTTTTGGATAACTGATCCATGAACTGAAAGTCTCTGGGTTGACTTGCAGAAGCATTTTGCAAAGTAATGATACCCACTTTTAAAAAATCTGTGATTACGTATGGATGTGATAATCTGTAGCAGCACTATCAGATAAATAATACATATTTAAAAAATTTCTGTAATTACATGTTTACCCGATAGGCCAGAACGACTCTGTCCCAAGGAGCTGTTACAGACTGAGTAAATAATACATGTTTTAAAGTCCATAATTACATATGTAAACGATAGAGTATCGAGTAAATAATGCACATTTTAAAAAGTCCATAATTACATATTTACATGATAGTCTGTAAATTCTGTAATTACTTATTTACACAATAGACCATAACAGCTGTTACAGTCTATTATGTTAACTCTCATAGAATTATATTATGGATTTTTAAAAACGCCATAAAGAACCTAAGGAATGGAATGATACAAATGAAATAAAATATGAACTTCCACTAACTATAGCTCTCTCAAAAGAGGAGAATTTTGAGTTCAGGTGAAACTCATGACTGATACATTATCGGTAATTTCTGACTTAAAATTTATTTGCAAAAATATAGGTTAAGGCATCAAAGGATGAGAAATAACTGAGTGGTACGTATTAGGCCAAGTTTTTAAGCATTTCCAAGGATAAAACTTACTCTTGGTGGCATAAATAAAGACTTGTGTGTAACTTTTATGTTTCTTAGGCCTCTCATAAAATTACAGTGGAGCATAAAAATTAAAACGGTATTTGTATCCTTTATGTATTCTTTAAGTATAGTAGAATTAAAATACTACTAAATAAAATTAGAATATTTTCTGATTTACACCTAATGATAAGATGTTGGGGCATATGTGTGTAGGCTGTATATAAAGATAACATATACATTTATGTGTTTTTTGTGGGAATTATAGTTTCTTTCCTGACCTTTTAAGGGCCCTCATGGGTTAAGGATTCATACGGTACACTTTATATCTCAGCTTCTGAATTTATTCTAAAGTTAAATACAAGATCAATGCAACTAAATGAAAATTCTGTCCATAATGACTACTAAATAGTAAGGTTAAATCAAGCAAGTTAGAATCTGTCATTTAGTGATATTGGACCATATATTCTTAGTAACAAAACATAGTATAGGAGAAACCTTTGATCCTATTTGTTAGGCATTATTTTGTAAGATATTTGACAGCTTAAAGTGAGTGCTTGATTTTTAGAGAACTGTTGTACAAAAATTAATCTTCACATTTCTTAAAGTTTATTTTCATTTCATACTTGAGCTACAGACCCCTGATACACTTCTCAGCAATACTGTGGACAAAGTTATTTAAACCAGGGGCTTTCAAATTTTTTTAAATGCAACTCTTGATAGGAAATATTTAATGTTAGGACCCAGTATGCACATACATATATATCAAACTTTTACAAAACCATACATACTCTTATGAAGTGTAATATACTCTGATATCTATTCTATTGTATTCTATTCCATTGTGTAAAAATGCTGGTTGTAACTTACCAAATTGATTTCATGATCCACAAATAGGTCACATGTGCAATTTGAAAAACACTGAACACTGATTTAGACAATGCTTTTTTTCTTTCTTCTTCTTCTTCTTTTTTTTTTTTTTTTTTGCTGGAGCATGCAGGATTTCCTTACTTTATACTAGGTAGACAAAATCTGGTTAGATTTGAGATGAAATGTTTTAGCGGTGGATCATACTTGTGTAACCTAACAAAAATTGACTCATTATTCATGAATCCAGAAATATATTAAAAAGTTATAATTATTTCTCATCTATGTCTGGTTTTAAAGATCTTGAAATAGAGCATCCTAGTGCATATTATTCTAGAGTTGTGGTTATTATTGAAACTGTAGAAGTTATTTAAAGGGAGCTATGCAGAATGATACATCAGATATTCAGAATGTCTTGCTTGAGAAGGGATTTATTTCATGGATATTGTGGATATTTGCATTGCACATTTGGAATCAGAAAAGAAAAAAGGAAATAGTAACCAAAAATGAGAACTGGTCTGAAAGAGCATTTCATCTTCTTTGTGTGGTAAGAAAGTCCTTAAATAATAAAATATCACAGGGTATTAAAATGAATCTGAATTTTAGTGAGTGAATTAACTTGACACTTAAGATCTCAAATGAAAGAGTCATCGTCAATTTATAAATAAAGTCAAATATTTTGAAAATTATTGTTTTACTCTTCTTTCTAATATATATGTTAATGTTCACTAAAATACAGTATGCTAGGATTTTTTTTTTCAGAAGCCATGCTTCTGATTGTGTAATAGAAGGTCTAAAATTGGTAAATATTCACTTAATAAATATCTAAAATATATACTGACTGCTAGTCTCTATTTCGCCAGCACTTTACATTTGGTGACCAGGGAGAATGGGAGGAGTTTTTAAAGTATTCCTCAGTGATCTCTGTAATGTTCATGACTTTGAATAGACTTGGTAAGTAGAATACCTTCATAACACAGCTAGTTTATATTTTTCAATTCAGTCATAATCTCAAGTACATATCACGCCAAATTTTTAATTTTGATTTTCTTTTTTTTTTGGGGGGGGAGGAAGGCAGGAAGGGAGGGAAGGAGGAAGGAGGGGATGAAGGAAGGAAGGAAGGGAGGAAGGGGGGAGGGAGGGAGGGAGGGAAGGGAAGGAAGGCAATCAAGCAATGAGAGAGACATTGCCGACCTGGATCTAGAGGTTTATAAGTTGATTCCTTTTTTTTCCCCCTTTTTTGAGAGAAGGAAAGAAAAAAAATGAATAAAGGAGAGAAAGAAAGAGAAAGAGGGAGGGTGAACGGAAATATTGCTTTATTCTGAAAAAAAAAAAGGGTATTAATAATGGGCAATCAATGTTTCATTTAAACCTATGAGTAGGTGTGGTGTGGTATTGACAAGAATGTATATTTTGTGTATTTGAAGTGGAGAGCTCTATAAATATTTATTAAGTTTACTTGTTCCAGATCTGAGTTTGAGTCCTTGATATCCTTATTAATTTTCTGTCTCATTGAATCTAAGTCTCTATGTATCTGGGTGTTAGGATCATTAGCTCTTGTTGTTGCATTGATCCTTTTACCACTATATCTTTGTTGCTTTAAAATCTATTTTATCCGATACGAGAATGGCAACTCCTGCTTTTTATTTATTTATTTATTTTTGCTCCCCATTT